TCATATTCCAAATCCTCTGTTTCTTTAATGTGGAAACTGCTAAATCTTGTATTATCCTGACTGTGGCTCCACAAGTTTGGAAATGCTTCTTTCTGGTGGTTTGAAATATTTTCTCTTTGATTTCGGAGCTCTGGAATTTGGCTACAATATTCCTGGGAGTTTTCATTTTGGGATCTCTTTCAGGAGGTGATTGGTGGATCCTTTCAATTTCTATTTTACCCTCTGGAAGATATTGGGGTTTTATAATTTCTTGAAATATAACATCTTGACCCTTTTTATGATCATGGCCTTCAAGTAGTACAATAATTCTTAAATTATCTTTTCTTAAGCTATTTTTCAGGTCAGTTGTTTTTCCAATGAGATAGTTCACATTTTTCTTCTATTTTTTCATTCTTTTGACTTTGTTTCATTATTTATTGCAATCCCATGGAGTCATTAGCTTCCAGCTACCCAATTCTGCTTTTTAAGGAATTCTTTTTTTCAGTGAATTTTTGTACCTCTTTTACCATTAGGCCAATTTTGTTTTTTAAGGTGATTGTTTTCTTTAGTGTTTTATGTTTCTCTTTTTACCAAACTGTTAATTAATTTTATTGCATTACTCTCATTTCTTTTCCCAATTTTTCCTCTGCCATGCTTATCTTGTTCCTTAATTCTTCCAGGAATTCTTGCTAGCCTTGGGTCCAATTAGCATTTGTCTTTGAGGCTTTGCTTGTAGCTGTTTTCACTTTGCTGGCTTCTGAGTTTGGCTTGGCATTCTCTGCCCCCATAGTACCTTTTTATGATCAAGTTCCTTTTTTTTTGCCATTGGTTCATCTTCCTAGCTTATTTCTTCACTTTGAACTTTATGTTATAGCTAGGCTCTGCTTACCGGGGTGGGGGGGGGCGGGTAGGAAGACATTGTCCCAAGCTTCAATATTTTTTGTGCTGGTCTTTTCAGAGCTAATTCTGGAGGTCTTCAGGTTTTCAGTGCTTCCAAGTTAATGTTATTCTGGAGAGGTGTGGTCACTGCTCTCTTGGTCTGCCATCCACTCTTTATCTGGGAAAGTCCTCTACTCCCCTGCCACTGCAAGTACTACTGCTTCTCTTGGCCCTGGAACTGTGACCAGGGTTGCTGCTCCCTTGTTATTAACCACAAGCTCTCCTTTCCACCCTGGAACTGTAACACAGAACTAAATATGGCAGTGGAGTTACCAATCAGTGCCAGCTGTACCCAGTGCCAGCAAAGGGTCCCTTCTCATCTCTTTCTGACCCACCCCCAGCTCCCAAAGCTGCTGCTGCTGCTGCTGTCGTGACCGCCTCCAAAGTTGGTCCTCCACTGTGCTCCAGGCCTTCGCCCACCCCAGTGTTACAGACCTGTCCTGTGGACCTCCTAAGTTGTCTTAGGCTGGAAAAAATGTCTCCTTCTGATCTTTTGTTGGCTCTGCTGCAGAATTTTATTTGAGGTGTTAATTTAAAGTTGTTAGGAAGGGAATGTTGGGAGAGCTCCATTGGGTCCCTACTGCACCATCTTGGCACCCCCTCCCCAACTTAGCCTTTCTAATCCTCAGTCTCCACAGCCATACGCTGGGCATCAGAGAGACTGGAGAGTCACTAACAGGCCCCCCAAAATGATGGGTGAGTGAACTTTGAAGCGGCCTGCTTAAGGGAGTATCATGCCTGAGCCTCAAGAATGAGACCTCAGGGACATGGGACCTGAGGGTCTGGGAGATCACCACGTGGAAATGAGCTGCTCTCTTGCATGTGAAATCTCCAGCCTTATTAAGTCCAGCTGTGGCTCATTCTTCCCAGTTATGTGGATGCTGTAGCCAAGTCCTAGCCTGTGTGCCTTTGAGGAGGCTCTAACCTGAGCTGTAATAATATTAGGAACTGGGAAGGAACCTTTGGCTCGATCTGAGAAGGAGGCTCAGAAAGGGGAGAGAACAAGCTATGTCTTCCTTTCTGTTGCCATCATCATTGATTGGTGTTCATTTTGAACTTTGTCTGAGAGCTGGACCCCAGGGGCTTGGGAATGGGGTGGGACAACTTCCTACCAACCAGTTGCCTCTCAGAGGACCCAGGCAATGAGAATTCTGGGGGCCATGGGTGTGTATTAAATAATATTATAGGATCATAGGTCTAGATGTGGAAGGGACTTCAGAAGCCATGTGGTCCAACCCCCTCCTTATTGCAGATGAGGAAACTGAGGCCCAGAGAAGTAGTGATTTGTTCAATGTCATACATGCAGTAGCTCCAGGAGTAAAGACAGGGCTCTAACATGCTCGGACTTCAGATCAGAAACAAATTTAGGTTTAGGGTTAGGGTTATAGTCAGAGGCAAATTTAGGGTTACATCTTTATATCAAACCAAGCTATCCTATGTGTGTATGTGTCATTATATGAAACTAATGAGCAGGGTGACCTTAGGCCAATCCACTTTTCTGAGCCTGAGTTTCATCATGTTTGAAGTGAGGGTGTAACACTAAATCTCCAAGGGGCCCCTTCCCCTCTGACCACCTGAGTCCAGGTTTTAATCCTTTATTTCATTTGTTCCTTACAATGAAGTAGGCATGGCAGGGATTATTATCCCCACTTTACAGACAAAGAAATTAAGACTGAGAGAAAGAAAGCGACTTGCTTAAGACCGTCCCCTAAAATTACTGGCTGAGCCAGGAGCAGAAGCCAGACCCACCTTTCACCTTGTCTTTTGGAATTTCCCAGTTCCAAATTGCACATGTATTGTGGTTAGGAGATAGCCTCATAAAAATGGCAGACCCTTGCCCAGCCTCCCTGCTTCTGGTGTCCAGGAGTCAGATCTGTTAATTCTTCGGGCCAAACAAGTTTCCTCACCCTGGATCCACTCCATCAGCAGCCTGGTGTCTGCCTCGTAGTAGGCATTGTGACCCTCTTCCTCTGCACTGGGAGCACTGAGGAAGCAGTGGAGATGGAAGCAGCAGATGGAGTTATTTTTCCAAACACCAGAGCGGGGCTGTGGCTTCCCCCCTGGCAGCTGGAGAGAGACTCTCCATGCTCATAAAATGAACACACCCGGTCTGGGAATCAGGGAGATGGGAGTGCAGGGGAATCTTCCCAAACCTCCAAAAGGATTCTGTTACTCACACTTCTATGCAGACCTTTACGGTAGTCACTGTGGTGTGTATAGCCACACAGATGGGGCTTAGCGTCTGGAAGAAATGAGGCAAATGCTTATACCTGCTTCTTCTCCTCTCTCTTTATCCCCTTCTTTTCTCTCTCACTTTTTCCCCTTATTTATCCCACTCTTCATTCTTCTCTGCTGCCCTCCTTTCATCCATCTCTCTATCTTTTCTCCTTCCTTTACTATCTTGTTCTCATTCCCTCTCTTTTTCTTTCTTTTCTTCCTTCTCTTCCCCTTACTACTTCTCTCCTTCCCCATCTCCTTCATACCTTCTCTGTTCCCTTCATTGTCTCCGCATTTCTTCTCCCCCTCTCTCCAATCCTGCCCAGACCATCTTTCCTCTGGCGCCAGAGTGGACTTAGATTTTGCTGTCTGCTCAGAGCCTTCTCAAGGGATATTTGCTTGGGAAAGGTCAGGGTAGGACACAGCCTTTCAAGGTGATCCTGTTGTCTCAGCCTGATAATAATACTGATAGCTCACACTTATATAACACTTTACAGTTTACAAAGCACTTTCTTTACAACAGCATAGTAAGATAGGCCATGTGCTATACCCATTTCGCAGATGAGGAAGCTAAAATCCCAAGTCTATATCCAACAGTCTTTTTACTACACACTGACTAGCTAAGTGAGGGCGAGAGGAGCTTTGGTATATTTTTCATAAAACTGTAGATGTCCATATTGTCTCACCTGTTAGAATGTATTGTTTCATTTCTGGTATGTATCGCCAGCACCAGGACATTAGCTGACTAACGCTCATTAGTTGACTGATTGATGCTTGAGTGGTTTTGGGAAGGATTATAGGGCCATAGATCTGGAGTTGGAAAGGACCTGAGAAGCCATCAGGTTCAACTCGCTCATTTACAGATGAGGAAACTGAGACCCACGGAGAGCATTCGATGACTGGCCCGGAGTCACAGAGCTAGTAAATGTCTGAGGAGGCATTTGAACCCAGGCCTCACTGACTCCAAATCCATCACCTCTTCCCCATTCTAGAGAGTGTGTGGTTAATGGTACTTAGGGCCACCATACCTCCCCAAGTGATTGATTATTGGATGAAGGAAAGAGAAGGGTGCAGTCAGTTGAGTGATATTGTCACCTTTTAACAAACTTCCAAAAATGGCTGAGCCTGACCCCACCCTCTGCTTACTGACTTACCTGACTCTTCCCAGCCAGTAGTCAGCAATGGCTGATGGTTGCATCCATCCTTTTGGAGCGGGAGTGCTGCTGCTCCTACCACTAACTCCTGACACACCAGTTCAAGTTATACCTCTGATTCCTTAAATCTGACGCCTGCTGGAAAACAATCCTTACCTACCTATACAAATCAGAGACCTTCTGCAGCTTAGTAGATAGTTTAATGAGCTGCTGTGGCCAAAAAATATTCCCCGCCTGATGGCCAGTTAGAGAGGGCAGGCACATGCCATCTCTGGGCCCATGCACCCTTTTTTTTCCTGGGTTGCTGTGACCTGCCAGAGAATACAAGTTTATTGGCGTTCACTTGGCTGTGTTGCACGATGTTTAGAGAGCCTGCATGGGAACAAGGAGGGCACACAGTCAGCTTTCACCTCTGATACATACTATGTGACCCTGGGCAAGTCACTTGACCTCTTGCCCCAGGCAATCCCTAAGACTCTAAGCTGCAGGGCTGCTAATGATCTACCCTGGAAGAGGTAGTTTTCTCAATGAAAGTTTCCTATACCAAGGAAATTTCAGATCTAGACCCAAAAGTCCAAATGGGATATCCAGCCCTCTACAGTTTTCAGCAACTTTTCTCTTTCTCTGGGAGGCATAGTGCTGGTCCCCAGTCTCCTCCCACCCCCCACCCAAAGAAAGCACTTTTCTAACTTCATGGTTCTCTCACTACAGGGACCTCCTGGAACTCGTGGGCCACTGGGGATGCGAGGAGCAAAAGGACGTCGGGTAAGCTCCCTCAGAGATCTCTAGCGGCTGGATCATCTCCTAGGGTGGGAGGCCCCAGTAGGCTGTGCTGAGGGGATGAGGTCATGAGGAAAGGAAAGGAGAAGGGAGACAGCGAGTACCAATCCTGACAACTTTCAGGATGTTTGGGAAGTGACCTCTCTTCATCTGAGCCTTCTAAAGAGAACTCCCCTTACGTTCCTTTGAGGATCACTCCATCCACCCTGTCCTTCCCTCCCCCACTGCCAGGCATAGGAGGGATGGCGGTCAGTGTGTCCTTTGGCCCAATAAACATCTTTGCCTATGTGGCCAGACGCAGAGGCCAAACCCAGCTCTGTGTGCAGTACTGAGCTCAGAAATGCCCATTCTTCTTTTCCCTCTGCGCTTTGGAAGACTAGCTTCTTCAGCCAGCTGTGTACAGATGTACTCTTTGGCTTCTGTCTGCTATCCTTTGCATTCTCACGTCCCCATTCAACAGCCTGGTGTACCTATACCCTGGTGTAGGGAAAGTAAGGGGGATGAGATATCAGGGTATGGCCTAGCAAGTACTGAAATCATCAGTATTAAACATATCCGTTTAAGCTTTCCCATAAAAAGGCCTCTTTTCAAAACCCTGTGATGGGTGATAGAAGGTTTAGATTTCTTTTTCTTTTTCCAATGCCATTTTTTCTTCAGATGGATTTCAAGTGGATTTGGCTTTTCCCAAAACCAGATGGTCTGATAAGCCTGTTGGGCTTTGGGGGAGATTAAGAGACATTCCTTAGGCCCAGGCAGGAGCTCCTAACTGTACTTAGTGTCACAGGGCTCTGTAGGGGGATTCGGTCCTTGTGTTGAGAAAGCCCCTACATGAGTCTAATGCTTTCCTCCCATCCCTCACCATGTGCCGAGAACTCTCAGCTACTCCAGATACTTGCAGCATCCGAGGCTGGGGACCTAGGACTTGTCTCACCAACCCCTCTGACAATGGCTTCTTTTCCCCATTCCTTCCCCTTCCTGGAGATACATACATTCATTTGAAAGCTTGGCTCTACAGCTTTGGCCTGCATTTCCTCCACAGATGTCAAACCTAAGAGCTCCCCTAGTCCCAGCCCCCTCCACCCTCCCCCTCAGCAAGCTCCCTCTACTCTTTTCCCAACACTGAGTGGAAGAATGCATCTTCTACTTGAGGAAACCCAGGCCCCCAACCACATCAAAGTCCCCCAAGCTGAGCATTTTAGGAGGCATCCGGAACCTGCAGAGTCAGGCCTTGCTGGAGCTGTGTATTTTACTAACAAGATGCTCAGAGGGTTTGGGATCCAATCTTTTAAGTCTTTAAGTCTTGTGTCTCCCATATGTAGAATATGTAAATATGGAATATAGAAATAACCATGTAATTTACTGTCCCCACCCCCACACCCCCCTTCTGTAGAATAGTGGTAATAATACTAGGCTAAGAGTTAGGAGTCCTGGGTTCTAATCCTAGATCTTCCACATACTCATTGTAAGACCATGGACAAGTCATTCGTCACATTCTCTGTGCCTTAAATTTCTCTACTGAAAATGGGTCTTAGACTAGGCAACCTCCAAGTTCCCTTCTAGCTTTGCCCAGTTGGGAGGCAAACGTCAGTAATATAGGTGACACAGGCTTTTGGATTTGTGTAATGTGGTTGCCATTCAAAGGGAAAAATTGGAGCTGAAAAGAGTTAGTCATTTTATGGAATGGGAAGTATGTGAGGAGTGGGGTTCTTTTACCCAGTGAGGAAAAAAACAACTGGATTTGTAGTCAGAGGGCATAAGTTTGAATCCTTGCTCTACTATGTACTGAGCCTCAGTTTCCTCATCTGTAAAAGCTTGAAGCTTCCCACACTGCAGACAAGTCTTTGGGGTCCCTCCAGCCTCCGGCCCCAGCCCTGAGAACCCTCAGGTACACGTTGAGTTTAGAGACACCAAGGGTGGAGGATGAAGAGTCTGAGAGGAGACCCTGAGAGGTAATTGGACAGATTTGTCATTCACAGTGGGTTCCCAATACAATCTTAATCAGGTCTGGAATGGAAACATTCATGAGATGGAGAGTGTTCATTCCAGGCAAGCCAGACTCCCAGGCCCATCTTCCAGGGCTTAATGAAAAGCATCTCACTTGGGGGAGCAGATATGAAAGCATTGTCATATGGCTTTGATTGTAACCAATCTCCACAACCTGGAGGGCTGATGAAGTCTGCACTGTATTAGTTTGGGAATGGGGGTGGTGGAGGGAATGTGTAGTTGAAAATTTAAATTAGCAGCCAGTCACATTTTAGTTCAGCCCTCTTGTTTTGGGCCATGTTTATGCTTCTTTCACTGACCTCACATCCAGGGCCATCCCTAGGGAGGCTTGGAGCCCAGGGTAAAATCATGCTGCTTTCTCCCCCCACTCCTGCCCCAATCCCCTTGAACATGTGGATCCAGGTGAAATCTGGCTTAAAAAAAATGCACATCAGAGGCAGCCTTGGAGGGAGAAACAACAGAATAAAGATTTAGCATGGAGCCCTGCAAGCTGTCTCATGTACGTCAACCTCAGTTCTTTTTCACATCAACTGAAGGGGCCAAATCCTTCTTCCTACTTTCTTCTTCAAAGCATGGGGCCTGGGTGTGTTGCTCTGACTTTCTATCTTTTTTTAAACTCTACTTCCTTAAGGTCTCAAAGTGGGATGGGAACTCATAGGTTTGCTTCTTCCAAAGTCTTCTCTCTGGTCATCTCATGGGAGGGCAGAATCACTGCCTTCAGAGAAGGACATGGGATCACAGAATCCGGTGAGCAGTAAGGACCTTTAGAGCGCTCCTCATGGTCGGTCCTCTGTTAACACTCAGATTTGTTTATACTCAGAATCTTGGTTCTTCTCAACCTTTAAGAAATGCTAGATGAGAGCTCTCCTAAAAAGGCCAGAAGAGAATCATAAGGCCCTCCTAATTAGGAGAGGGCCAACCCTCCACCATTTGTAGGTAAAAAAATGCCCATTAAAAACATAGAAAATTACTCCCTTTCCTTACCCTCCCAACTAAAACCAAAACTCAGTTAGGGTCCTGGACTTCTTTCTTAGCATCCTATATGGTCTTCAGGCATGATTCCATTAATAACTTTCTCAGTCCTATGAAAGGAAATTTAATTACTGTATTCAGGCTTGGCCCTTGTGATCCTAAAAGGATATTGAGCTAGGGAAGAAGACATTTTTCCTGGCTATCCAGCCACCCACTCCCTAGGCAGAGACCCACCTGTCTTGGGAATTGACCTCCAAGCCAGTATCTCAGGAATGTTTAGACCAGGGGTTCTTAACTGTTTTCATGTCATGGCAGTCTTTGGCAGTCTGTTTAAGCCTATGCTCCCTTTCTCAGAATGTTTTTAAATAATTAAAGAAAATGTTGAATTTCAGGTAGAGGTTAATGAAAATAAAGATGTAAATTTTTTCTGTCAAAGTCCATGGAACCCCTGAGCCCATGGGCCCACTGGGGGTCCATGGACCCAGGGTTAAGAACCTCTGGTTTAGACAGTTTAGCTGGTCCAATGAGATCCTTGACTTATTGCTCCTGTCATTCTAGTAAGGACTCAAAATAGTCATAAATTTAATTTCTAAGCCTTAATGAGCTAAATAACTGGGCCGTTTACCAGACCACTCTGAAACTCAGCTTTCCCCCTGCTAGAGGAGGACAGCTTCTGCCCCTCTCTTCCCAATGAGGTCACATTGCAGCGCTTCACCAGCGTGGGTGTACCACCATGGAGCAAGATGGACCCGAGTTCTTTGGCCCTGCTTTGGGGCTGAGAGTCAGGCTATCCCCCTGCTATGCTAGTCCCTAGCTTTGTCTCACCCGCGGGCTGCCTGGCCCCATGCCTCCTCCTTTGTCTGACTCCCTTGTTGCTTTGGACCAGACAGGGAAGGGCGAATTTTGTTCATCTGCTCTTAGCTCAGAGGATTGAGTTCTTTGGCAGCATGGTGTCAACCTCTGGCAGCAGTCGGTAGGAATGTCAGCTGTACCCTTCTAGGTCAGACTGATGGGCTGTCCAGCTCAGGACCCTTTCTGATGGGGGCACCATGGTGAGTTAACTATTTGGCATAGTGGATTGAGATAGTTAAGGGTACGCTGTACTACAGACTCCCCAGCATAGTGGATGGGGCACAGGACTTACAGCCAAGAAGACCTGGATTCAAATCCCACCTCAGATATCTGCTAGCAGTATGACCCTGGGCAAGTCACTGAAGCCTCAATTTCCTCAATCTGTAAAATGAAGATATAATAATAGTACCTACTTTAAGAGTTGCTGTAAGGATGAAATGGGATAACACATGCAAAGTGCTCTTCAGACCTTAAAGCCATGAATGCTAGCTATTTTTATTATGATGGCTGAGTGTGGAACACATCTTCCATAGTTTCTTCCTAAGGAGATTAGAGATGTTTCCCTAACATGGAACACAGAATGTTAACACCTAAAGGATCACCAAGAACATTTAATTCAACCTTTTTAATTCTACATATGAAGAAAGGGAGGGAAGGGGATTTGCCCAAGGCCACATGGCTAGTAAGGAGTGGAGTTGGACCTCAGCTCTCCTGTGTTCTAGTCAGGCATTCTTTCTGCCCCATCATTGCTGTCTGATATCCTGAGACTGGGTCTTTATTCTACTGCTGAAGATGAGTTTTCAAAGAGAGTTTCTTTCAGTCACACTTTCCTGGCATCAGATCCATTTGAACCTAGTGCTTCCGTCAGACTTTTAACATGCTGATTTTTCTTGATCCAGTATTAGCACTGAGGCCTAAGTAGGGTCGTAACATTTAGAGCTGGAAAGGATCTCGGAGAGGATCGCCCCCAACCCTTTCACCCAACAGATGAGGAAACTGAGCAAAGAAAAGGAACGTAGTGTGTCTATGGTAATACCAATAAGGATTGTCAGAGCTGGGATTTGAATGTATCAGGCCAACCCATACCTGTACTGGATTCCTTGACAAGTGATTAGTCGGCCTGTGCTTGAATACTTCTAGTAATGGGGAACCCACTC